CTCTTGCAGGCAGCAGGCAGAGGCAGGCACAGCATCTGAGTTAGGCCATTGTACCAGCGGGTCTAAAACCAGGCTCTGCTCTACAGGGAGCCGGGGTCTGCCGGTCTCGCAGTGCAGGCAATCTGAAATACCACTCTGGAGGTCTGTGATGGTGTAGTCGCTGCTCAGATCGTGACCGTTAATGTCTAGAGATAATTTTGGCCTAGCAGTAATAAATTCAGAACCACATTAGACTTTATTTCATCTGACACGTAGGCAATGATTTAAGTCTACTTTTCTGTATTAATAACTACATGCAGGAGGGAGTTTTTAGCCCTACTTCACTGCTTCAAAAGAAAAATCTACATGCTTTGAATTACACGGTGTGTACAAGCTAGGTAACAGGTTATGGGATTGTGCTGCTTCCTACATGGTAACACTTACACATCTTGAATATTACCATAGAAAATGGTCCCTGGGGACTATTCAGGATGGTTGAATATGCAGTAAGTTTGCAGTTTGTTGAAAATGTCTGGCAGCAATGTCTCATATTTAAGTGTGTATCTGTTTGTAATGGGTTTCTGTGGCTGGCTCTTCAGGATATGGTTTTCTGCTGCTAATCTGAAATGCAGTCTCTGAAGCATAAAAACTCCAAAACAAGAAGATTTATTTTCTGTAGAGTATGATTGTCACTTAGTTGGATTTTGTGTATTAAACTGGTTTTGTTTCCATTTTTAAGTTTAGGGTTTATGTAGATGTATATCACCTTGTCTAGGGAAAAGTCCATAGCTATATGTATGCATGCAGTTTCTTACAACAGCAGGGATAAAGCTGTGGTGGTACTTGCAGGGCAGATTCTGACTGTGTGAAAATCCCCCTAAATCATTTATCTTTGAAGATGCCATATAGGAAATTTGAAGGTATTGCAAGCTACCCAGGGGAGCATAGCATAGAGGATAGAAAGCCTTTCACTGGAGGCTGCTGGCTTTTAATCTCTTTGTGCATGGGAGATAACTCATTTGAAGACTCCACCCAAAGGATGAGTGTCAACAGGAAGGGGGGGCATTCAAGGGGCCACTGAAGATAAGCTGCCACCCCATGTCTGAGGTTACCATTCCGGGTTACGATGAAAGAAACCTTGGTGGGAGAGCACTTCAGTGTTGCTGCGTGGCATCTGAAGAGAGGGCTTTCCCTTGCAAAGTTGCTTGTCTGGGTCCCATCTCATGTTTTTTAAATTCTGTGTTTAAAATAATCTTCATATGAAGAAATCTCTCTTGTTGCTTAATAGCTTCAGGCTGGCTTTTGAACGTTGACTTTCTATTTACACACCTGATTTAAATGTGTTGCATCAGATTGAAGAAACAGCATGTTATTGGCAGGATAGCTTCTTTGCACATCAAATGGCTGTAGAGGGTGGCAGATACTATAGCTGGCAACTGTATAATAAGAAAAAAGTCTTGCCACACTGGTGGAGCTCTCTGGCATCTGGGAGGTCTGGATCCAAACTGTGTGGCTTGGATCTGTCGCCAGTAGGGAAGGTTAGCTTGCTCCCAGTCTTTGCTCCAATTTCCAGTGCTACTGCAGCAAAGTCGGGGGTCCTGCGCAGAACTGGGGGTTGTTTTTTGCATGTACTTGTTAACTTCATTGCACAGCCAGATATCTGAAAGGAAGAGGTAATTAAAGAAAATAAATAGGGTGGGTAGGGAGTGGGGGAAACCTTTGGTTTCTCTGTGGCACTAGAATTGACACTTTTCAGATTGTTTAGGCCTTGTCAGAAAACGTTTTGTTCAGCCTTTGTTTTCTATTGAATCCTGTGTGCTTGGTTAGCTTCTTTCCAAATTAAAAAAAAAGCTCCATACATGGATTGAAAGCTTTATCTGTTTATCTCCTCATTAAAAAGACTGTCTATGAAATGTGCTGACAGGGCTTTTACTCTCTTGCTTTCTATTCTCATCACATTTTCCACTGAAAGCCTCCCCTCTGCTATTTCTGTTCCATAGTAAATGGGGCTTTCTGGTGGTAGAGGCTCTGGACACTGTTCCTGGCTCCTCATGGGCTGTGTTCATCGCCTCGGGTGGGAAACCTCGAACGTGGAATTTGGACAGCAAGGAGGCTGGTTTGGGCGTATGGGCTCAGTTCCCTGAAAGGCAGTTTCCACAGCCTGGAGGTCCCAGTATCAAATATGGTGGGAAGCACATCACAGGTTGTCCTCCAGTTAGATACTTAAGCAAGAGGCCACATTTTGAGAACAGCGGGGGGAGCAAGCTGCCTGAGCTGGTGAGAGAGACCTTCAGTGGAAGCTGAGCTTCTCAGGAAACTCGGTCTCAGGACTTCTGGAGCCACTTTAACCAATTGCTGGGCAATTTGCTTGGGAAAAAAAAAGTAGGCACGTTACACAATCCGAACCACTTAAGAGATTGCTAGTGGCTGAGTCTCCTTGCAGCCATATCATTAATATTGGTATTATAGTGGAGTGATGAGTAAGTTTTGATTACAGAAGGAATTGTGAAGACTAACTTTTGCCATAAGTTGTGTTTGTACTAATGTAATTGAAATTCTACAAATACAAGCAATAAGAATGGCCACTATTATCCCAGCAGTGATAACGTGAGGTCTGGACTTGAGATGCTGGATCAGTGATCTCCAGCCTTTGCCGATCTCCATCATTGGCATGGATCATCCATCGCTGTTTGCTCTGCGTTAGCTTTAACTTCCGTCACACGTGAGCAGGTTGGGAGAGTCTGGTGGTTTGTGAACTGCCATGTTACACCATTAAAAAAAGATACAGATTTTTATACACGTCTCTATAATCAAAGCATAAGTGTCTATTTTTGCTTCCCTTTGCAGGTAAGGGAGTTACTAGATTAAGCCATATAAAATACTGTGGGTTTCACTCGCATGCATTTGTGTGCGTCATTCTCCACTGTGATGAGAGAATTTAAACAAAAAGAAAAAAAGGAAAAAACTTCTTACTGTAATAAACAAAAATGCAAAATCAGTGCAGGAGACACATCAAAGTGCTCACGTGCCAAGGCCCACAAAAGACACAGTCGCCTGCGGGGTAAGAGCGTGGTCATGGATGGGCAGTGTAAACACTTTGTTCTGGTTTTTGCTCAGCTTTCGCCTGCTCATCTCTTGTACAAAAAAAATCCCGTGCAGCAACGTGAACTTTGTGACGTTTGATATGTAGAGCAGACAGCTGCAGGCTCAATTAATTCCCCCCTCTGACTTTTTTCATGGTATTTTTTTTCCAGAAGGCTGTAGTGACTTCCAAACCCTCACGGGTGAGTGGCATTTACGGCTTGTTGACTTTGATGGAAATGAAGCGCAGAGTCCTGTTCGCAAAGAGAGCGGGTTTGCATGTGGAAGTCTTCACTGGGTGTCTTTGTGGGTGGGTGGACAGAGCTGCTGTGTAATCCCTGGGGGGGGTGCTTCCCCATAGCTTCACTGGCCTTCGTCTAGCCCAAAGCAAATGAAATTTTGGGTGCTGGGTGCAGGAGGCTGAGCCTGCCTGGAGTAAGAGCGAGCCCTGGGAGGTGAGAGCAAGCAGCAGGCTACGAAGCGGAGGGGAAAGCAAAGCATGGCAGCCTGACGTGCGGGTGCTCAGGCACCCTCTTTGGAGCCTTGTGTACTGTAAACACACCTGAGGAAAAGTCCTCCGCGCCTCTCTTCCCCTCCACCCACCCATGCAATCTTCCCATGTCTTCTCTTCGGTAAGCAGGAGGAGAAGCTCATTAAGTGCTCTCTGCCAGCGCACACACCTGTAATTTAAACACGTTCATCTATGACAGCCCAACATGCCTGGTGGTGTCTGACACTTGGATGGCAATACCTGCGTGTGGGAGGGAGGTGCGGATGAGGAGTGGAGCCAAGCGCGGAGCTGGGTGGGGGGCTTGCTGTGGAGCCCTTACCGGCTTCCTAATAAACGTGGGGAAGGGGGCAAAGCGTGGGACAGTGCATGGGCATCTCTGCTGGGAGAAAGTGGGAACCCACCCGTTCCTGTCTGGCTGTCTGCTTTAGAAACTGCCTGTCTTGAACACGCCTGTGGATCTGTGTGTTGTTTTTGTAGTCAAGGGTGTTGTGTTGTGGGTTTTTTTAATAATAAAAAGTGATTAAAGAACAGGCTGTGCTAGGCTGGTTGACTAATTGCTTCATTTTTTAGCTAATAGATTAGATTTTGTCAAAAGCACTGTCTCCCCTTCCCCAGTAGTAAAGCAGCGTGATGCCAGATACATGCCTGCTTTATGGTACCCTTTTTTTAAGCTTCTGGCATCTCACATAGGTTACTGTGGGATATTCTAATGACGCTGGAGTTATTAAAAAAAAAAACCTATCTATTACATTTCAGGGATGTTTGGGCTTCACGCTTCAATAGTGCTAATTAGATATGTGACCCATTTTCATTCTGCTTTAGCTCCTGGGGATGGTGGAGCCTCATTATAAGTGCAAGGATAGAGAATGCCCATGTTCCTTACTCTAAATAGCTTCTTCAAAACATGCCCAAAGGGCTTTAGGGTGTTTTTTGTGTGGACACTGATTATGTTTTCGTCGTCTTTAAGTGGGGAAGTGGGACGGGGGGAGATTTCTCTTCCCAGAAATAAATAATTGAACATTTTTTTCTTTAATTTGGAAAACCTAGTGGCAAATCAAGGTCCTCTTGAATTTTAACTTTGCCTTGTTTTATTGATGAGGGAATAAACTTGAATACTTTTTAAGCATAAAAATGCTTTTAATATTACAGTAGCTTCCCATTAACTGATACTTTTAGCTAATAGAGTGTGTGCAGCCCATCTCTTCATGAAATGCGCCGAGTGTCTGGCTGGATGCTGACGAAAGGTTGCAGCCATGAGAGGTACTTGTTGAGAAACAGCCTGCCAAAATGCACGTTGTGATGCAAAACTGAGGCTGGAAGGAGCAGACAGCCTGTTCCAAAAACTGCTCTCAGAAAGCTCTCAAGTTTTGTGCTCTTTTTGGCAGAACTCAGTTGTTTCCAGAAGACTTGTAGACAGCAAACAACCACTCCCCCCAACGATGGAAAATGCCAAACTCACTTTGGGGAGATCCCTGGGTGAGACCTGGGGGTAAGTGTAAGTGTATTAAAAATAATATAAATATAAATGAATATAAGATAATGGAGCGTTGCCAGGCAACTGTCAAAGGAGCTCCGGCTCCTGCATCTCTCTGGGCTTTGCTGAAATGACCTCTTGTATTTCAAGCATCTTGCCTGCCTGTGTATGAAATGGTTGTTCTGAACTTAGGTGATACACCTCGTAGGCAGCAATTTAGCTTGTGAGTGCTGCTGTATTTAGTGTTACAGTACTGATGTCCCTCTAGGCATCCTGTGCTCTCTTAAAAAAAAAAAAAAAAAAAAAAAATTCAAGGAATAAGGGTAAAGACTAGCTGGAGCCAGCTCTCAGCAGTGCAGCGGTCACTTATGACTGAATAAGTAAATTTTTGTGATTTAGCTGTGTCGGTGGGGTTAATCTGAAAGCAGGCAGAAGGAGGAACTCTCCTGTCACTTTGCTTTTAATGACTACGCTAAATGAAAAGGTAAGCTGGGTTTTACCTCTGAATTTACTGGTCTGAGGACTTGTTCATAAACCTGTGCCTCAGAGGCTTGCTTTAAAATTAAGTCCACTAAACGAGCAGGCTGTGGCAGAGGAGTTTGAGGCAGGTTAGTATAACTTTAGGACAGTTTTCTGGGCGTTTTGCTGGGATGCTCTGACAGGTCCTTTGGTGCAGCGGAACACAGGGCTGTGCTCTTTGCAGCTCCTTCCTTTCCCTGATAGTTTGACGTGTGCGCAGCAGATGATGAACTTAACCTTTTCTGTTTGCAAAGGGGCAGGGAAATAACCTTTTCAAAAGCTGTGTTTATCAGTATAAACATAACTTTTTACATTGTAAACATGGGCAATATGACTAGTTTTTGGGCGGCTGCTTTATTGCTTGTATCATGTTCCCATTCGGAGTATGTTAGGTGCTGTCATCTGTCTCCACCATGAGAAAGCTGCTGTCTAAAAATGCCCATTGGACAACAGGATGAGATGGAATCCATGTAGGAATTATTTAAGCTGGAATCCTACAGTTATTTAAGTCCATGCTTATCTTAATTCACTGTAAACGTGCAGGGCTACACAGAGCGAGTAAAGGTTAATGCATTTATAAGCCTTTGAAGATCAGAAACAAACTTGATTTCATTTTGAATTTGCATTCAGTTGTGGGCTGCCTCGTTGCTAAGTATTCCTCAGAAGATGTTGGTGGCATGTTGCATGGCTGTTTGCTTTGGTCATGGGTTATTTTGCAGTTTTTTATCAAAAATCCATTTCCATGTTTTTCCTCGTCTTCACCACTTGTTTTTCTTAATCCCGCTAGTTTCATTTTTTTCTCCTGCATATCTTATTCTCAGAAATTTGAGCTATTTTGGCTCACTACAGAGTTTGAAAAGAAAAAAAAAGTTATTGAAATAACTTTTGAAGATTTTCCCTGCGTAGAAACATTGAATAGAAGTTAGCTACTGCCAGGGCAGAGTCTTCAGCCTCAGTTGATGGTGTCCTGAGAGTTAGTTAATGTTGCACTGCGCAAATGTACTGTGCTCTGCAGCTGTTGATAAACTAGCTTTTCCTTGCAAAAAAAAGTGGGGAAAACTGCCTTTCGAGTGATGATTTGGCTGAATTTTTTGAGTGCATATATGCAAACGCAGCTTACTCCCCAGGAAAGCGTCTGAGTTAGTGGTGCTGCGGCGGAGTGCATCTTGCCTGCTTGCTCGGAAAGGAATGCGGCTCCGTGTCGGGCCCTACGTGCCGCACTGTTCTTTTGCATTCCACCAGAGATAGCGCCTGGGACTTTCTCTTGAGAAGAAAACCAGAAAGCACCTGTTACTGCCGGCAGCTGGTGCCTCAACAGCAAATGGACAGACGGACGGATAGTTGAGGGCTCCTGCATTACTGCCTAAAGAACAAAGCAACACATAGGCTTGTAAAGTCCTGTTCGGGAATAAATAGTTTGTCTTGAAGAAAAATGAATGGTGTTTTGTGGTGTGACTGAATGGATCATACATGCCATGGATGTGTTATCTAGGAATTTTTAAGGAAGCTGACGGCCACATCCCAGACGTTTTTTTTTTCCTTTAAATTAGCTCACCAACTAAATATGTTGAAATGATGCATGTATAATTGACTGAAGCTTTCTTCTTTGGTGTGGCTGAAGTATAAGGGGATAAGGAAAGGGCTTTTACGAAATTGTGGGTATGTGTGCGGGATTTTGCTGTAAATAAGATCACAAAGTCCAGATACGTTCTCAGACATAAAGACAAGTAAAAAAAAAAGAGTTGATTTATATGTTTAGTCTTTCAAAATAATATTTCAGGCTGGATGAAACAAACTCTTTTCAAATCTTCTGGATTAGACCAGACAGAGTAAACATCTCTAAATAGCACCTTCTCCTGTGAGCACTGCATTCGGCAACCAGGCACGCAGGGAATGGGTGCAGAGTTTAAAGCATCTTAACCAGATTTTGTTGTTCCACTACCTGAAGAAGCTATTGGCGGATATTAACGAATGGTTGTTTTTGAAGACTTGGTGTTATTACAGAAGAACCATTTAAACATGTTGATCTGTACAAGATGCTTTGTTTGACTGTCTGGCTGGATGGCTGGGTGCGTTCTCGGCATGGGGATCATGATGTGCCAGTAATTGCAGTTAAATGAACATGGCTAGCTCTCAGGCAAATGAAACCTAATTTGTCACAGCTGTCAGAACGATCATGTCATGTTTGTTGCCTTCAGGAGCAGTTCTAGGCTGCAAATCCTGTTAAGGTCCCAGCGTTTTCTTGTTAAATATTGCACAGCATGTTTGCTGACCCTAGTATTTATCTTGGTGGTTTTTTTAAAGGCAAACACACCAATTCTGTCTCTTACATAAGCTGGGGTTGAACTTCTGTGAACCTTAGTCATGTGGACTAGAGCTTGTTAATTTGGTGGACTTCAAGGACTTTGGCATAACAGTAATTTGAGGGCTTGCATATAACCGTAGACAGATTTGCTCACGGATTCGTACGGTCAGGATTTTGGAAATCGTGCTTTAAATTAGCTTTTAAAGAGCAGCCCTCCCAGGCTGGATTGAACGCGTAGTTACGCTTTACATCAGCAGCAGCAGCAGACAAAAGCAGCACAGCAGCTTTGAATTTTGCATTCGTGCCAGCAGGAAATACAGTAGAATAAATGCAAGACTCCATTCGTAATACCTCAAAAAAACACAGTAAGGTGTAGGCCTCTTGAAATCCCCCTTAGTCATAATTTCAGTATTTATTTGCTTTTGTTTGTAGATTAACAGATTGGATCTAAATTGGATAGAGCAAGTCCTGTTCTGTAAAACAAACAAATGCTAATTTTTGGATGTCAAGCCTGAGGGAGCAGAGAGCTTTCCTGCTCTATTCTTCTTCTAAAAAAAGTATTTGGATCCCTGAAATACCCGTAGGGGTGATTTCTCCTCCCTCTGTGCTGGTGGCTGCCGTAGAGCTCCAGAGAAAGAGGTGAAGGGTCTGTGTCCAGTAGCGTGTTACAGGGCAAGGCTGGAAAATGTCAGTGGTGTTTATGGAGCTACCTGGAGGGGGAAGAGCTCTGACCTTTCAACAGAGAGGTCGTGCAAGCACATTGCTCATGGTGCAACACATGCACTGGCTGCCCCTTTTCTTGGTCACCGCTGAGTCTTGGGGAAATGGCGAGATGTTTCCCCGAGCTGCAGCTGCCCCTGTCTACGCCACCTGCTCCAACCTCTCGGGGATGATGTCGGGGGCACAGCTGTCTGCGTCCACCATTAGCTTACCCCTGCAGTGGCTACCCTGGTGGGATGTCTCCAGGGCTTTCCTTTCCCTTGTCCACCCTTGCTCCTGTGGAGCAGTCCCCAGCCCTGGCGCTTCCCATCTCCCTGGCAATTCAGGGGCTTGGGAAGGAGAGCAGGGCTGGCTGTGGGAGGAGCAATGCTGCTTGCAGGTGAGGGTGTAGGAAAGCAACTGCTGATCCTGAAAATCGCCTTCTGCTCTTGAAATGGGTCTGCCTTCTTCCAGCCTTTCTGCCTGACCTCCCCTCCCGTACCATCTCCCCTAGGCAGAAGTGCCACGGCCACACAGGACTTTGCCTTCATTGCTGGGGGGCCTTGAACCAGCTCTGGTGCTGCCTGTGCCTCACTGTATATATAAATACACTTGGAAATGTAGGCATGGGGTGTACTGGAAGAAGAATAAATGAGGGCAGATAGAGCAGAGCTGGTAAAATTGATCCCACAGAGCTGCCTTGTTAATGAAGTTTTGAGCACATCTAGCTGCCAGAACATTGGCAGAAAGTGAACAGCCTCTTCTTCAAGGGTTTGTTTCCATATATTTTATCTCCAGTTCCTCTTGCATGATATGGATTGGCATGCAAGTATCCCTTCATGAAAAGAAACTGCAACCCCTGATACTCAATGCTCTTAAAAAGAAGTTTCAGTCTTCTGTAATAGCGACACGACAGTTTAATAGTTGATAAAAGAAAAACAAAAAGTTACACATCTGCTTTTGTAGATTGTGGGGACATGACATTGCAGATAAACATTATGAGCTTTAGCTTAATGATTTATTGAAGTGCATTTCTTCATTTTATTGTAGCCTTCAGTTGCTTACTATGCAGCTGTCTGGTTTCCCCAGAGAACGGAAGACTAGCTCAAAGATATAAATCTCTGTTAATGATTTTAAATAGCTATCTATCTGTATACAATATAAAACTTTTTTTTTTGCCCCGGGCGCTCAATCATGCGATTAGGAGAGGATAATCAATAATCCTGAATGCAGAGCAGAGCCGCTTTCGGTCATGAGCCCTGGTGCTCTCAGGCCACGCAGGGCTATTGCGAAGCCCCCTTGCTGCCTTCCAGCCTCTCGCTCTCCGGCCTGTTTCCCTGTTCAGCATCTGGAGGTTTCCAGCTGAAATGGTCCCTCCAAGACCTGCAGCCCACTCTGCATGCTGGAGGAGATGACTATTTTTCCCTGACCGCTCATGTGAGCTGGTTGCCTTATGTCTCTTCTACAACAAGAGAAATAAAGGCAAAGCTGTGCTGTAGCTGGTTGGGAGCACTGTGTGGTTCTGTTCAGTTTTGTTTGTCTTTGGCAAACGAAGGCTGAATGACGTTTGTACAAATAGGGAGGAGCTGTTGTGAAATAAGAGATACTGTAGGCAAATGTACTAAGGAACGTGCAGTGAATGTGAACAGATTCCTGGGCATTAGCCAGGACGTTCCTCACCTCCCATGGTTCGTGTCTGAACCAGCCCTGGAGGGACACTTTTCATAATGGAAAAAATATGTAGACCTCAGAACTAATATTTCCATCTCCCCGCTCCCCCCGCCAATGACCCCAGATGAGTTCCAACAACTGGGATGCGGGACCAGCAAATACAAGATGTATTTGGATGGGAAGGGCAATTACGGCTTCACTATCTTTTCTTTTCTTTACACACATTAGCACCTGGTCTGTCTAGCCATTGTTTTATCAGGAAATTAGTGATTTAGGAGATAAAGTGTGGCTGCAGGGTCCTTAGCTGTACTTCATAGTTTAACTGGGAACACACCAGTAGTGACTGAATATCACTCCACCTTTGAAGCTCTTCAAACGGCTTGTACAAATAAATTTGATTACCATCCTCTTCTCACCAGAGAGATGCTCCCAGCAGAGAAGTGAGCACCAAAGTTAGCATTTAATGGAAGTGTCTGCTTGTGAACTGAAGGCATGGATATCCTTTTAGATCAAATGATTTGGTGGTGTTGCTTCCAACAAGAGCAAGGCAGAGGCTTGTGGAGCACAGCAAACAAGCTTGTGCTACTGCCTTTATTTAGTCTTGAAAGCCAGGTTGTACAAAAGGATGTGGGGCGGTGGTATGTGACTTCCTAGAAGGTCACTGTCACCACTACCATTTCTAAGGGGCAGCCTCTGCATATGCCTAGCACCAGAGGGCTCTTATGTGCTCTGTGGTGTAAGTTATGAAAATCTATTGCTAAATCTTCTGTAGCCTCAAGAGGAGAGGTGGCAGACCTGCCACGCAGAGGAGTCTGGTCATGATGGCAGATTGCATAGTCATTTTGTGTGGAAAACAGGAGGCCAAACCAGACCTACTATCAGTGGCTTTGTGCTCTGCCCGCACTCTTCCTTCCCCTCTCCCTTCCTCCTGTTGCTCCTTGTAGTTTCCTTTGGCCATTTACCACTGGTAGTAACAGTCCTGCCCCTTCATGGCATCATCTCTGTGGGGTCCTTTGCTGGCCCTTTTGTGACATCTGCAAACAGGACTCACTGGAACAGCCCATCTTCCCCTCCAGCGCACCTTGTCCAGCAGCGTTTGCGGGCTGGCTCTAACAGCAAGGCCAGCACCAATTCTTGTAACGCTTTCCTTGATTTTTGAGGGTTCGGTCCACAAGTTCCTAATGAAAAGGAGTTGTTGGAGATAAGATTGCCTGCTGTTAGTGTTCCTGTGATCACTGACTCACTGGTGTGTCTAATGTGTATCCTGAACTTACTGGACATAGTGGGGCAGTCCCAGCCTGGCGAATTGCTTGTCAGCCCCATGTGCTCACCAACTTGGAGACACTGCAGGACTGCTCCATCTTTTTCCAGCAAAGTAGCCAATTTTTGGATTAACACAAGTGAATTGGGAAGGGCTAGAAGCAAAGCACTGCAGGTGAAACCCTGCATGGTATGTTTCTGTGCCAAGTGAACTTTTATCATTGACTTAAAGGCGCATGTGGATAGCAAATAGGGCATCATCATGATTCGTGGTGCTGTTACAGCGTGAGACCTAATAAATCTTCTTACGTGTGCCTTGTACTTAGTTCACATACTTATTCTGGCTACTGGGATTTATTCTTAGCCCTGCTTTTTTTCAGGAATTGCTGTGCCTCTGTTAAATGGGAGCGGTAGGCAGACTGTCTCCTGGGTCAGATTTGCAGTAGCTTGTTTCGAGCAGGTGCAGATGGGGGTAGGAAATGCCCTGGAAAATGGGAGAGAGGGCAGGGGCGGGTTGGAAGTTGGAAAGGGCTGGGTCTGCCCTCTTCCTTTTACTTCTGTTGTTATTTATATTCTTGCTCCGCTTTTTACTTCCTGAATTAATGCACATTTGCAATTTTCAGAAAGTCAATAAATACTCATGGCAAGAAGACCCGTCCACCTCTTAGTTGATCTGTCTGTGACTCTGTATTTAGCTCTTCTGGGGATCTGTATGTGTTGTTCTGCATAGCAGGGTCTAAGTAATATGAACTGTCTTATTTACATAAGGTAAATTAATCTTTTTGCTAGTTTCTGTGTTCTTGAGTATGCAATCATTGTGTGTACTCTGGGACTTGCATTTTGAATTTAATTCCAGGAGTAGTAGTTTGAGGAGTATGAGTATTGACACTATTGGTACTGCTTCCTGTCTGTAGCTGGAATGCCTGTAATAGGTTCTTACTGACTTAAAGAAGATGCTTAGTTCCTGGGGGTGGAGAGAAGCACAAATAAACCAGCCCTACAGACACTGATTTGACAAATTCTCTAGTCTCTTTGCACATGAGAGGGAATGTATGAGTTTTGGTGCTGTGGCTCTGTTTTGGATCTGGAGAACCCAGAAGGAGCTGCACTACCTGATGGTTCCTGGCCTTCCTCTGACCTGAGTTTTGTTTTTAAGCAAGTCTGCCTATATCTATACCTCATATTGATATCTTGTTGTCTTTGTCTAACGATTTCTCTATTTTGTTTCAACGCTGATGCAGTCCATCCGAGATGGAAACGGTGATGCTGAGCTCTGCGCAAATGGTGGCTGGAGTTACCCACGTTGGCTTTTTCTGGAAGTGGCTTTAGAGGGTAGCGGGGTTGAATCCAGCTGGTAGAACAGGAGCTCTCCCATCTGCTCTGCTCTGGGGTGCAATTGCACAGTAACAAGCCTGATCGAGCTGGAGGCTTGTTATTTAAGTTAAGGCACTTGCTGACTCATTGGCAGAAAGGCAGTAGTGGGGAAATACTCTGCCTGCCAACAGACTGTGTACTGTTACAGTCACTGTGGCAGCACGGGAGTGCTGCCTGTCAGGGGTGCCCATTACCTGCCTTTTTTTAAACACAAAATAAAAAAAGCCCTGAAATGGGAAGGAAGAAGAGTTGCAAAGATGATTAAGGCTGCTCAAGCTGGTCTGTGGGGAGTAGTTGGATTTTCAGAGTGCAGATCCCCCTCGTTTCATCCTTCCCTGCCTTTTTCCCCATGAGCTGCCCAGAAGTTTGGACAAGTCCCCCCAGAACTTGACCTTATGTTGACACAGACTAAATTGTTCTTCTCCATTGCTTCTCCATCGTCTCCTGTGCTAATTACTGCTCTGCAAATCTACCCTCTGGTCTAATTTCTAAATTCATCCAAGAGGCTGAGCAGCTCTGAGGATCTGCTGTAAACATGACTTATCCGACAGGCAGTAAAGCTGCTCTCGAGCTCTCCAAGGAGAATTAAGCCTTCGTGAAAGAGACGTCTGTTGGGCAGCTGGTTTTATCAGTCTGTGTTGCAGATTAAAACATGTTTCGATGTCTCTTCTATCAAATCA